GTGGGGAAAGGAGCGGGGGATGAGGAACTGATACCAAGGGCTTTAGTAGGAAGAAAATTTTTTTAGAATAATGATGGAAACAAATGTACAAATGTGCTTGACACAATCGATGTATATGTGGATTGTGATAAATTGTATGAGCCCTCAATAAAATTATTTTTTTAAATAAAATAAAAGGAACTGACTCCACAGCCCCTAATAACGACAAGCAATGAAAGAAAACCTTTCCTAGAGGCTAAGGAAATAACAGCATGGGTAAGAAGCATGCCACAAACCAACTAAATACTGTTGTCAATACCATGAGCGAGCCACGAGGAGGAAGGACTGGAAATCTCATACATTGCTGGTGAAAATGCAAATTGGCAGTTATTTATAAACATCTATTCACCTATGACCTTTAATTCCACTCTTTAAGAACTGAACTAAGAGCAAAAACAGCCAGTTATAAAAATCTGCATGCAAGTCTTCATAGCAGCCTTATTCATAACAGAAACTGAAACAACTCAAATTTTCATCAACAGGTGACTATACTATAAACAAAATGCTGTACAATCATACCATTACACATTACAAAATAAAAAATCTACTGCTGATACAGAGAACAATATGAATGAGTCTCAAAAGCACTATGCTAAGTGAAACAATCAGAGGAAGCAAAGTACATACCATATGATTCCACTAGGTGCCATTCTTGAAAGGGCAAAAATAAGGGGCAGAAAACAGATCTGCACTTGCCAAGAGCAGAGTTTTCTTTATGGTCAAGTTAATTTCAAAGCTGAAATCTTTACGAAAGCAGAAGGTTACACCTTTCTCCCAGAAAAAGGTTCCAAACCAATACCAAACCCACCGCCATGGAGTCAATCCCAACTCCCAGCAACCCTCTATGGACGTTATGCGGCTGTAAATATTTGTGGGAGCAGCTAGCTGTCTCTTTCTTCCTCTGAGTGTCTACGGGCAGGTGAACTACTGATCTTGTGGTTACCAGCCCAACATACCCAACAACCTCACCAGGGATGCTTAGCAGAGGATTCAAACTCAAAAAACACTCAAACTCCTAGCCATCAAGTCGATTCTGCTCAGCAACCTTTTATGACAGGGTCGAACTGCCCCCTGTGAGTTTCTGGACCTTGAGTGTAGCAGATGATTAGCAGGAGTAGATTAACTGAAAGCGGGTAAAGGAAGCTTTGTTAGGTGATGGAAATGCTCTGCATCATGATTGTGGTGATGATTATATGATTGTATATGGACATCAAATTGTACATACAAAAGAAGTACATTTATTGCATATAAATGTCTCTTTTAAAAATTTAATATTAAAAAAGAGTTCTCGGTCTCCCTCAAGAAATCTCTCCTGTTTATCTCAATACCTCAAATGATATAGAAAACATGTCTACTGTTATTCAATTTATTATATGATTGTACATAGTAATATAGTAATGCAAATTATAATATATAGTTGTTATAATCATTTAGGAGGTCACAGGTGATGCAGTTAAGCACTAGGCTTCTAAGCTGATCACTATTCACCGAGTGGGGCCTCAGAAAAAGGTTTAACAATCTATTTCCAAAAACTACCCACCCACCACCATCAACTAGATCAGTGGTTCTCAACCTTCCTAATGCCGCAACTCTTTAATATGGTTCCTCATGTTGTGGCGACCCCCAACCATAACATTATTTTCGTTGCTACTTCATAACTGTAATTTTGCTATGAATCATGATATAAATATCTGATATGCAAGATGTATTTTCATTGTTACAAATTGAACATAATTAAAGCATAATGATAAATCTCAAAAACAATATGTAATTATATATTGTGAAATATTTATTTCTAATTACAAATAATGAAATTTTGTCTTGAAGCATGGTGTACCATAGGTAACAGTCTTAATATAATAACAGTAAATTACATTGTTACATTTTGTTACAGCATGCGTAAAAAGCCAACATCAGTGTAAAGGGTGAGATAGCTTCTTTCTCACCAGATCAGCATATCTGCATGTGGGCGGACCCACCTGCAGACAGATAGAGGAGTGGTGTCTGGGTTCCTAAGACCATTGGAAATGTGTTTTGTGATGGTGTTGGGCAACCCCTGTGAAAGAGTCATTCAACTCCCAAAGGGGTTGTGACCCACAGGTTGAGAACCACTGGATTAGATTCTGATTCATAATGACACCCCACAACCACCACCCTGCTATATAGGATTTGGGAAGATTTAGATCTTTGTGGGAATAGATAACCTTATCTTTCTCCCAAGGAGCAGCTGGTGGTTTTGAACTGCCAACCCTGGATTAATAGTCCAATGCGTATCTGACACCACCACCATGCTCCTTCTAAAAGATTATAAAACAGAACCAAATTCAATGTCATTAAGTAGAGTCCAACTCATAGTGACCCTATGAGACAAGGTATAAATACTCCTTTGAATTTCCAAGACTGTAACTGTTTATGGGAGCATTTCATCTTTCTCCAAATGGAGTAGCTGGTGGCTTTGAACTCCTGATCTTTCGGTTAGTTACCCAACATGTCACCCACTATGCCACCAGGGCTCTTAGATTGTAATCCAAAAGATTGAAAACACTGCAAAACCTATGGAGTACAGTTCTATTCTGAAACACGAGTTGGAATCGAGTAGATAAACTGGTTGGGGCTGGGATGGGGAGTAGGCGGTGTTATATGCATTTTCTCCACCACATGTCTGTCAGTTTGTCATACTGTGGTGGCTTGTATGTTGCTGTAATGCTGGAAGTTGTGTCACTGGTGTTTCAAATGCCATCAGGGTCACCCAACGAGAACAGGTTTCAGTGGAGCTTCCAGACTAAGAACAGACAAAGACAGACTCGGCTGCCTACTTCGGAAGAAGTAGCCTCACAGCAGCATATACATTTACTACATCATCCACCTCCTGGATAACATTAGAGAACAGAGTGAACGGACAGCGTTAGAGTGAATCTCTCACTAGGTTCTCGGAACTCAAGCTTGCAAAAGTCCGTTTGTTTCGCTTAAGGATTCTTGACTCCTCTGATACATATGGCTGTTTATTTGGTATCCTAGTAAACGTCTTAACAATATCTTGCTTCCTAGGATGCATGTGTGTCCAGGTTATCCTCACACCTGACAGGTTATCTTTTTTACATACAGTGGGCTTTTTTTCTGTCAAGAAGTGTAACTCGGTCCACATATGTACAACACTACAAAATCACAAGCTTTCAGTTTTGTTTTGTTTTGTTTTCTTGTGCTGCTTTAAAAAAAAATCATCTCATTGATCTTACTTGTAACAACAGAATTTTTAAAGGAAGCCAAATGATTGCCTGCAATGCATTATGTTGATAGCTGAACCAATCATTTGAAAATCCTCAGCAAATTTTACTGCTGTGTAAAAGCAAATTTCTAAGCTCATTTCACTTAAATAAGCCCAGTGAGCCCAGAGACCTGTGAGTACTTGAATGTCAAAGTCCACCATACAGTTCTGACTCTGGATTCCTTTCTCCCCCACAAGACAGTTTTTGAAGTGCTGGTTGCCACCAGGATGAGAGGAAGAGACATGATTAATTCCATTATGAGATCTCAAGGGGGAAATAATTAATAGGACACATTACATATTCATACACTACCGCTAAATTTCTTTTATTTTAGACACTAACTTGATCACATCTATTCTAAAATGTAGAAATTCGACTGTACTTGGATAACATCTTGTTGTTTAAAAGAAGAAAAACTATACCCCTTTAATCTTTCTTCTGAATTAAGTAACGGGCCTTTTTTTTTCTGTTCCAAGAAAACTGAGCGTCACCTTTATACCCATGCAAAACACTGTGTGGGTTAAACGTGCAGCCATTCTCCAATTTTTTCTGACCAAAATGCAAAGCCATGTAAAGAATATTTAATATTCAAAGTCCAAAAAACTCTCTTCACTCTGAGCTACCATCCTAGGCAAGGGAGACAGCCAGTTTGCATGAAATTTCCCAAAAGATTTCTATCGTGTTGTATTTTCTCTCTGATCAACACAGAAATATACGGTGTCATGAAACCATACTTGAGGGAGGCGACACAAGGAGGGAGTTTATTCCTAACTATTATGCATGCACCTATTTTTCTTTTTTCCCTCCACTTTTAATTTATCCAAACATGAATTTCATATAACTTTGTAAGAGACCTAAAATACTTTATGGAGCAAGGCCAAGAATAAATAATCATTCCATATATCTGCAAAGACAATTGCTTCCCTTTAATCCTAAATAGAACCTTAAAACATTACCTCCTTTCTACCTCTTAAATATTCTCTGGAGTTTGGGTGAAGTTTTCTTCCTGTTTGTTTTTTGGAGGGTTTTGAGTGCTGCATTGAAAATACAAGGCTCAAAATTAAAGAGTTTCTCCTTTGTTCGGTATAACAATTCTGTTTGAAACTATTTAGGGCAAAATACCCCCAAAAAATTGTTATAAAATTTAAGCTTGTTATCACTAAGTGACTTTGAGTTGGGTCCCACGGATAGAGAGCCATGCACAACAGCATAAATCACTACCCCACCTTGCGCCATCCTCACAAGTGCTTGAGCCTGTCACTGTGACCCATTGAGGACCTTCCTCTCGCTCATTGACCAAGCCCTCCTGAAATCATGCTGAAAGTACGTGAGACAAGTTTTGCTATCTTGGCTTTTAAGGAATATTCTGGCTGCACCTCTGACACAGGTACCTCTTTCTTTTGGCAATTCATGGTGTATTCAAAATTCTTTACCAAAACCATATTTCAAATACATCAACTTTTCTTCTCTCTCCCTTATTCATTGTTCAGCTTTTGCATGCATAGGAAGCACATAATTTCTCATGTGCTAATGCCCAACCTATAAATAGCCTTATATCAGATCACTTAAAAATTTCTACTTTGCAGCTGAGTTTTAGTATTTGAGTAACTAAATACACAGCACTGGAAGATCGGTGTTGCTACACATACTATTTCATAGGAAAAATGACTTGGGTCAGGCACATCTGAGTCCTACCATTAACATGTGTGCTTTTCAACATTTCAGAGAGGTCTTGTACGAGATTTGTCCTATGCTTCGTGATGTTTGCTTTCATAACTGCTGCTTCCATGGGTATTGATTGTGGATTCAAGTAAAACAGAAACTTCAACATTTTCTCCAATGTTCATGATGTTGTTTATTGGTCCAGTGTGCAGGGTTTTGTTTTCTCTATGTTGAAAAGTGGTTCATACTGAGGGCTGTCTTCGTTGATATTCAGCAGTAAGTGCTTCCAATCTTCTTAGCTTTCAGCAAGCAAGGCTGTGTCATCTGCTAATCAAACACATTATTGAGTCTTGTTCCAATCCTGTTGGGGCAGCATTCTTCTTCCTACAGTCTGGCTTCTCTGATTATTTGTTCAACATTCAGATTGAGTAAATATGATAAAAAGATACAACCCTGATGCAAATCTTTGCTGTTTTAATTTTTTTTTCATAAGTAGGCAACCTATTCGATACACAACCTTTATATATAAATGATGTAGATCTTCCCGTGCCTCGTATATAGTTACTGAAATAGTTAAAGCTCGGCTGCACATGAGAATTTGTTTTAATACTATTTTTAAAGCCACTAATAAACACTTCAAGTAGGAGAACTGAACCTCTGCTCAATTGAGTCTTCCTGAGTTCTTGTGGGAGGGTAGGGGGGTTGGAGGGGATGTATAAGAGAATCCCGTTTTTATCTAAATGTGAACTGTCTGCAAATATAGTCAAAAAGCGAACTACTAAAATTGGAGCGTTCCTCTGGCAGGCTAGAGTTTAGTAGTGTCAAAAGGAAAATTAGTTTTACCATAATAAATTCACAATATAATAGTTTCTATGCATTATATTTCATAGAATAATATTCCTTCCCCAAAAGTTATCTAAACAAGCAACAGATCATCTATCATTATTAGAATTTGCCTTAAAACAAAGTTTAATTTTTAAAAGTTGGACTTGTCACTCACCCACTGCAAGACAGAGTATTGCCCATGTACAGATACTAAACACAATTTCTTGTGTTTAGAAATTCAGTGCCACTATTATGGCTCACAATTTGGCTTATGATGCATCTGTAAGAAAATAGGCTGACAAACACCCTAGTGTATTTCAGGATGACTGACAGGGCATAGTGGCTCAAGCAGCAAGTGGGGGATGGGTGCCCTTAAAGCAACAAGCCAGCAAAGGGCAACTTTCATCAGCACATCAGACTTGAAATCACTCAGTATAAACTTCCTAACCTAACTTCCATGTGAATTATGCACTTCAGAGGTGATAAACCTCAGGGGAGATTTGAGAATTTTCAAGAGTAAAGAGAAAAAATGTTAAAACAAACAAGCTATATGATATTTTCTCAAATCTATTAAGTTTCTAAATTAGTTAAGAAATATGCTAGTTATTTGTAACAGAGTTGAATCAGAGCATTCAGAGAAAAGCCATTCTTATGTCTCCTCCAGATAATTGCCAAACACTCTTACAATCGCAACTTAAGAAGAACTAATAAAATTAAATATCTTGGATTTAACAGAATTGTAATTTGGAATGGGAACAGGAAATTCCTGTATTTTGCTTCCTGTAGTTTTCCTTCTCTATCTTCTACTTCACTGGTTAAAGAAAAGATCAAATGATTAGGAAATTCCACTAACAGGTATTCCCACATTCACTTGAGGCTGGGAAATATCAGTGATATATCGGCTTCATTCATCACAATTTTGTTTTACTTATTTCATTTCATATATCATCCAACAATCTTGCACTACTCAATCATTTTTAAATTAATACAGCTATTTAGCTCTAGTGTTTAAAAAAAGTCACTTTTTAAAATAGAACGTTTCATGTAAACATCAGTGTCTCAATGCCAAAAACACACAGTGTTGTACCCAATAAGATTTTCTCATGTACTTCAACTACCAGCTAGGACACACCATCTCAACTTTCTTAGTAAATATGTTTAGAAATATCCCACATTATTTTTCCCACAAAAATTTGATCCCAGGCATCAGGCATCATCATAACAAAAAAAATCATATCATTGTGAATGAGGGGAAAGCCCATCTGTAGGCAACTGGACATCCCCTTACAGAAGGGTCTCAGGGAGGAGACGAGCCAGTCAGGGTGCAATGTAGCAATGATGAAACATACAACTTTCCTCTAGTTCCTAAATCCTTCTTTCTACCACCACCACCACTCCCCCACTATCATGAACCCAATTCTACCTTACAAATCTGGCTAGACCAGAGGATAGACACTGATACAGATAGGAACTGGAAACACAGGGAATCCAGGGCAGATGATCCCTTCAGGACCAGTGGTGTGAGTGGCGATACTGGGAGGGTGGAGGGAGCTTGGAGTGGAAAGGGGGAACCAATTACAAGGATCTACATATAACTTTATCCCTGGGGGACAGACAACAGAAACATGGGTGAAGGGAGACGTAGGACAGTGTAAGATATGACAAAATAATAATTTATAAATTATCAAGAGTTCATGATGGAGAGGAGAGTGAGGAGAGAGGAGAAAAAAATGAGGCTGGGTGCTTAAGTGGAGAGCAAGTGTTTTGAGAATGATAAGGCCAATTAATGTACAAATGTGCTTTGCACAATTGATATATGAATTGTGATAAGAGTTGTATGAGCCCCTAATAAAATGATTTTTTTTAAATCTGATCCCAGATTTATGTTTAGTGCTTCTCACCTGTGGCAAACTCTATCATTAATTTCTTCCCCTACCCACTCAATCAGATGCAGCCTAGTGGTAACAAGAGAAAACTACTAGAAGGTTAAAAACTGAATAACTGGGCCAGGCATCAAAATAACTCTCAACAATGCTAATTTTTTCTGGGACAAAAGCCAAGCATATAAACAACCCTACATAAAGAAGCCAAACTGCACTGGAAAAACCAATATAAATCCTAAAGAAAACAGAACACAAAGTTTAACTATAAAAAAAGTATTAAAGAGGACTTCCGGAAAGATGGTGACTGAGCACCACATACCACAGGGACTCCACAGAAATCAGCACAGAAGAGTTACTAAGAGGGAAATTCCACACTGGTGGGTCACAGGAGGAGCATCATGAAGATAAGCAGGCACAGATCCAGTCTGTTTTGAGGAGCTGGGGGCTTTTGGCTTACCACAGTGGAGGCTGGCTAGTGTTTGATCTTAGCCCTGCCACTGTCTCGGCCAAAGCCAGGATCATTTGGAGCCGGCACAAGGGCTTTATCTTAACACAGCCACAGTTTGCAGCAGCCTCAGGGCAGGGAGTAAAACCCCTCCATCCCCACAATCAGGAACCAGGGCTGACCTATATTATTACTTTTGTTTTCCTCTCTTCTCTCTATCCCCCCACAGTCTGTGGGCTTAGTTTTCTTTTTCTTTTTCTCTTCCCTTTTCTCTCACATGCCAAGGTCGACTCCAGACCAATGCCCTTAGCCTACGCCATTCATGCCTGCCCTCCACCGAGCTGGGAGAGCTCCACCCTCTGTAGCAAAACCCGAGGCTGGGGAAAGCCCGCCCAATCTGCACATTGATATCATACAGACCTCCATCTCTGACCACTGTGCCATAAAGCCAGAACTCAAAAGGAAGATGAAGAAAACTAGAGCAAACAATTGGAGGATGAATAACTCTCTATTGCAAAAGGAGTGTGTCCTGGCTCAGATCAGAGATAAAATTAGGAACTTTCGAGAAACCAAGGAGAATAAGAACACAAAACCAAGGAGAATAAGTACCAAAACGTATGGGACACAGCAAAGGCAGTTATCAGAGGAAGTTTCATGCACACATAAAAAAGGAAGAGACATGATTAATATGCTGGCACAAAATTTACAAAAACTAGAGCAGAGTCAACAGGACAATCCTACTAATAGCAAAAGAAAAGAAATAATAAAAATTAGGACTGAGATTCAGGAGAGTGAAAATAAGAAAACTTCTGGGTGAAAAAAATGCTGCTAAAAGTTGGTTCTTTGAAAGGATAAACAAAATTGACAGACCGCTGGCAAACCTTACCAAGAAAAGAAGGGAACAAATTTCAACAGCAAGGATGAGGGATGAAAGAGGGGACATTACAACAGGCCCTAATAAAACTAAAAAGATAATTACACAGTACTACGAAGGACTAGATTCCAAAGAATTCAACAACTTGGAAGAAATGGACAAATTCTTGGAAAAACAATCCCTTCCTAGACTATCCCCAGTGGATGTAAAGAATCTTAACAGACCCATCGCAAAAGAAGAATAGACAAGGTTATCAAGGAATTACCAACAAAAAAAAATCCCCTGGACCAGATAGCTTCACAGGAAAATTCTACCAAGCATTTAGGGAAGAACTGACACCAATCCTACACAAACCCTTCCAAACACAGAAAAAGATGTCAAAATCCCGAACACCTTCGATGAAACTAGTATGACTCTGATAACAAAACCGGGTAGGGATCCCACA